CCCCCCCCCCCCCCCCCCCCCCGTGGTGCCCCCTCTTTGCCCGCTATGCCAAGAACACAGTTTGCCACCACCTCAGGCCCTCAACATGCAGTTCCCACACAGACCGCCTGACGCAGGGCCGAGGGCTTAGCCCTACTGCAAAACCTAGGCATGGGCCTAGTGCAGGTCCCGTGGTAGTAGCAAATATTTGAATGAGAACATTGAAGACTGAAGTGGGGGGGGTTGTACTGCTGCAGCCCTCGCCCTGTAGTGCCTTCGGCCCCGCCCCTACTGAGGCATCAATCACCATGTGTTGGGCCTCAGTGAGCCTGCTCACACTCAAACCTCTCACAGCAGACCATGATTGGCATATGGTGCCCCTGCGGAGGGTCCCCACCACTCAGGTTTCTTCCGTCCCGTGGGCCAATCACCAACCGACTCACACGCACGTCGCACTCCCTGGTTTGAGATTCAAGACGGTGGATACAAGAATTTTGTCGGCGACCAGAACCTAAAAAACTGAGGTGGGGGGGCAAGTTCCATGCAACTGCAGCCGGGACGGCTTGCCGCACAGTCTCCACTGCGGCAGCCTCCCACCGGTGCCCAACTTTTGAGACCCGCTACGCCAAGGGCACGGTTCCCCATTCCTCGGGCCTCAACCCCTCACAACAGATGACGAGCGGCGGACTGCACCCACAGGCATCCTCGCCACCTTGGTTCCCTCCTCCCCATGGACCCGGCTCCCACCGTCCCGCATGCACGTTGAACTTTTTGGCCCGTGTTTCAACATCGGTAGCATGGAAGAAATTCGTCAGTATCCCCAATATGAGGGAACCGGAATGGGCCCCCCGAACGAGGCGCGTGGCCAAGGTCCTTGACTGTCGTGACGACCACCTGTGTCTTGCGACATACCAACTGGGCCAGACTCGTTGGTCCCGGAGTCGGCCTCGGAACCGGTCACCGAATCGAAAACACTTAGCAAAATTTTAAAAGTAGGAAAAATAATAGAATTAATAGTAAACTAGAAAACACAAAAACGTAAGGGGACGAAGGGCCGTGCGTCCCGCTGGCCCGTAACGCCGCTCATACCCAGGCTGCGCATGATTGTACCTCGCCGGTAATACCCAGCGCGCACCGCTCACCTGGGCGAGGACCTAAACTACCTCCCGCTCGCACACCGTCAAACGAACGGGGCCGCACTGGTGCGACTTGCAGAAAGCATGCCAAATACCCTTGTAAGGGTATTTGGTACGATAGTAGTAGGAATAATAATAATAACAATAATAATAGTAAAATAATAATATTAATAATAATGACAAAAAAATAAAAGAAACAATAAATGCAAGGAAAACGAGTAAAGGCGAACTTCAGAAATCGAGCAGGATCATACACATGTGGCCAGATAGTCGCGACCTCGATCAAAAGCAGGATCACATCACGATTCCCTCCAAGTGAGAACACAGCAAAAGCTCATAATCGACAGTGCAGGTATAATCTCATCCTCATCGACTTAGAACCAATGTCTATATCCTATCTGTGCAAGGCACCCAGAACTCATATGGCATATCTTATCTAGCCTATAGCCACAATGCCAAGGATGATGACAACAACTCTCCCGAAGTACGAACAGATCGCGGCCAATGTCGCACGCTTCATGCACCGGGCATGTCTTTCTTATCACTCACAACCTCGATCCCGACACAGATGCCATATGTACCTTTCTCGCCTTCTCTTCCTCTCTCTCTCTCACACACACACACACACATGTGTAGTAGTGGACATCTCGGTGTAGAAGTGGGACGTTCGATCAATCTTACCCAATGAACCGATCGAAGGTTTTCTTCGTTCACACACACATACATACACATGTACACATAGTAGTAATGAATATTTTATCGTTGTAAGAAAATTCGATCGGTGTTAGCTCATCCCCTTCGATCGATGTTGGGCGAGGCCAGCCGCGGCCCCAGATCGATGATCGGGGTACACACACACACACAGTGTCACACACACATAGGTACCAGTGAATATCTCGTTGTTGTAGTCGAAGATTCGATCGATTTTTGCTCATCCTTTCGACGGAAGCTGTGCGAGGCCAACCGCTGTCCTCGAATAGATCGAGCAAAGTACTCTCTCTCTTTCTTACTCACACACACATACACACACACACACCTATGTAGTAGTGAATATTTCAATGTTATAGCAAAAGATTCGATCGATTTCGTCCACCCCTTTTGCGCGATGAATCGATCGAAGCACTTTTTCTTCTCTTGCGCACACAGACACACACGCACACATACCCACACGCACACACTTACACACACACACACTTACACACACACACACATGTGGTAGTGAGTATTTCGGCGTTGTAGCGAAAGATTCGATCGACCTTGCTCATCCTTTCGGCGGAATCCTTTCGGCGGAAGTCGTGCGAAGCCAGCCGTGGCCTTGGCGACTTACCCGGCGCCGTGTGCGTCGTCCAACGAATCGATCGCTGTACTCTCTCCCTCTCTCTCTCACTCACTCATACGCATATGCATATACACACACACTCACACATGGGTCGTAGTGTACCTTTACTATTTCTAGTGGTAGGTTCGTTCAGTTTTGCTAAATCGATCGCTGGCAGTATTATGAGGTAAGTCGTGCGATCCGAGACTTACCTGTTCCCTTTCGCTCCCTCTTCAACATCGTAGTCAGTCCTTCGTAGCTCAGGTACGACGTCCCAAGATCCTCGCCCGGATGTCGTCGTCGCCGACCATGAGGGAGGTAAGTCTTTTCCTCCCCCTCCTTCTCCTTCCTTCTGCCTCCTCCTTCTCCTTCCTCTTCTTCCTCCTTCTCCCTCTTTTTTTCCTTCCTCTTCTTCCTCCTTCTCCCTCTTCTCCTTCCTCTCCTTCTCTCTTTCTTCCTCCTTGCGCCTTCCTTTCTGGTCAGGCCTTTCCTCTTTGGTTGCGCATGCTGCCTCTCTTTGCGCAGTTCTCCCCGTGTCCCTCTCCGTTTTCTTGTCTGAGCACCGCCGCGCCCTTCACTCGTATTGCCTCGCCTGCGGGGAAGTCCTACCAGCCGCAATCGTGGTGGCATTCTACTAGAAGAATCTGCTCCAGTATTGGGGCGGGATTCATTTAGGCACCTCGGGTAGGTAGGTCATTGAGAAAACAAATAGAAAAAAAAAAACGAGAATGGTAAAAACAAAGAAAAATAAAACTTAATAAGAGAAACAAAAAAACTGAAATAACAGAATCTAACGAAATTCTAACTACAAACGCCCCTACTTCGCCAAGTGTCAACCCGCTGCACTCGGCCTCAACTAACTCTGAAACTAAGGTCGCGGGTTCGAGCCCCGACCAATTGTTTCCTAGGCAAAAAAATATTGCGGCCCCTGGCCAAAAGGAAGCTAGACCCAGTAGTCTCTCAACCTTGATCCCTGCATCCCTTGTGTTTCTAAGGCAAACACCGGAACCTACTGAGCTAGCTCCCACTTCGAGTAGAAGGGGAGCAACTCAGTACATAAGTAGTAGAGGGGGCCAGTCCACCTGGTGGCCCGAGCCCATTTCCTCTTAAGTCTTCGTGTATGCACGGTTGCTTGTGTGCGTGTCTGACTAAGTACTTTGCCGTCTTGAGTATGTGCATGATCCGCAAGGGCGCTCGACTGAGCGGAACGCCCGAAGGGCCGGTACTTTATCCATGGTTGCGTCATCGAGGGTCGCAGTGGGGAGGACACCTAAGTGGTGGGTAAGATGGCACTATACTAAGTAAAGGTAGAAGCGTCGAGTATCTGCGGCCGCGTAAGGCCGACACTCTTTGTATCATGACAGTAACCAATTCAACCCCTCGGCCTTTCCCCGGTTGAAGGGTATCAGTGTCGATCCCTAACTATTGCAGCGCGCCATCATGATGCGCGTGCTCATACGGAATTTCTAAGCTCCGATTAAATCCCTCGAGGTGGTCGGCGTAACCGGCTTGTCGACTGCAAAATCATGGTCAAATACCCTTGTATGGGTATTTGGTACGACAACGCCGGGCGTGAGGTTGGGCGTCACATTACTAATCGCAGACCTTTGGGATGAGCTGACTGGTCAGTGGCTATCATTGCAAGACCTCAAGCAAAAGCTAGGAGGACTTGGCCAGATGGAAGAAAGAGCGGCCTCTTTGAAGGCCGCTATCCCCCCGGAGTGGGCCCACCTGCTGAGTCCAGCAGGAGTGCCACCTCCGGGGACGTGGTTTATTGTGAAGCAATATGATCCATGCCTGCAACCAGAACAGACATAGGTAGTATGGAAGATGATCTCGACACACATTGATGGAACAAGACAATTTGAACGATGGAGCAGATTGTCATCTTCGGAGCATCTTCTTTGCGATAGCAAGGACCCGCTAGACCCACCATGCAGACCGCTGGGCAATCTCGTGCAGATTAGAGTCCGGGAAAGCTGCAATGATGAAGGGGAATGAACATATAAATTGTGGGCTGAGGGGACCCCCATCCGAACACTACGAATCGATCCCAAACTGTTGTCTTGGAGCGGTTCTGGAAAATTCTCCCAGGAAGCAAGGTTATCGGACTACACATCAGCCGGAGGCTACGTACTGCTCCTCAGAAAGGACCCCCCTCTCAGCCGCAATAAGCAGGTGGACTCAAGTTAACGAAGCAGAGGACACACGCATCGGACAGGATATCCAAAGATGCTGGTCACAGCTGCAGAAACTGCCCATGCCATGGGCATCGGCTATTTAATGATATGGCCCGGGTCGCCGTAGTAAATGCACTGGCCCCGGTCCAGACGCTATTGCCATAGGCCCTGGTCCAGACCCAAACTTTCCCAAGGCCTACCCTGCGGTAGCCCTGGGTGCCATCCATCTACCCTATAGGGAGACCTATTCCTAGGACGGTTTTGCGGGGGACCTTGACACCTTCCTCCCGCTTGGCGGTTTTCCTCCTCTGCCGCCAACCCCCTGATCGCCCTGAAACCGGCTCCCTGAGGCCCGGCCCCCTTGGCCCTGGCCTTGTCCTCCTCCTTGAGGCCTCCCTCCAGCCACGACAGTTGCGTAAGTTCTCCCCTGACTCGCACCGCTGTCCTCATCCTCTAACCCCCATTCAATCTGTTCGTAGGGGATCTTGTCGACGCTACCTTCGTCTAAGGCCAGGACAAGACTATCCTTAGTCTTAACTTGCCCTGAGATAGTGCGGCCTTTCCATTGCTTCCCTCTATCTAAGTCTTTGTGCCTGAATGTAGAAATTGACACCGACTTTGCCTCAAAAGCCACCACTTCACGGCTAAGGGAATCATACGTGGTGGCAGGATCTTCGCTCTTTGCGAAGAAATGCCCTCGAAAGGCTTCGGGCATAGCCCAATAGAAGAGGCCGACCGACTGGGTGTTTGTGACCCTGTGGTCAGGTACAACCACTAATTCGTCCATGGTGCTCTTAAGTGCCCTGTCGCTCTTCCACTTACGAGAATGGATTGTTTGGAGTTTATCTGAGGCTTTGACACTGTGAGCGACATCAGCAAATCGCTCGCGCAACAATTTCATAAACTCGGCGAGGGGGGTGAATGTGGAGTACGCAACTGCATCTTCATTGCAGTTGGCGGCGCGGACGAGGGACCTTGCGAAACTGGTGGCTTCATCTTTAAGCGCGTGAATCGCAATCAACATATGCTGATCTGGGGAGACCTGTTGCAAATGCACAGAGGTCTTGACATTGGCTTCCCAATTGTCAAAGTTTTCTTCTATTTTTCCACAGTAGGAATTAGGGAACTCGACTTTGACTGGCTCCCGGCGAGGACGTGCCTCTTCCTCCTTGGGAGCTGCCGCCTTGATGCCTTTAATGGCGCCGACGCAGAAGCGTTCAGTCTTCTCGAGGCGATGATTCACCTCGGCTCCTACTACGCCTACCAATTCGTGAGCAAAGTCCCGATATGTTATCCGCATCGAACGCACGGCCATATCCTGACTTCTACTAAACTCATATTGTTGTTCCTGTATTCGGGCCAAACGCTCAACACTCTGGGCAATGATCTCTACCTTTTGTTGGAGGTCTACATGAGGGGTCAATTGTAGAGTCAGTTTTTGCACCTCCTCTAAATCTTTGACCGCTTCACTCGCCGCGTCCACCTTCTTCTTCTTCTCCCTCATCATCCTTAACTTCCATTCCATCCTCTTCTCATCTTCCATCGCCTGCCGCTTCAGAGCATCTCCTTCTGCTTCCCACTCCTTCATAGCGGCTTCCTGCTCACCCTTGGGGATGTACATGGCTACCTCTTCTTCTTCCCCCAAGGATAAGTGGCGACCCATTCTGAGATCCTCTTCTCCATCTCCTCACTCTTGCTGCCACTGTACTGCCCTCGTTGCTCTCTTCTCCTTTCCAGTGGCTGATCATCTTCCTCCTCTTCTTCTTCCACCTCTTTCAACTTCGCTTCTTCTTCTTTCTTCAACCTCTCCGTCTCCCTGGCCATCTCCTCCTCTATCTTTTTCAACTTTGCCGCCTGCTCCTCCTGTAGGGCCTTTTTCTTGGCCTCTTTCTTCTCTTTCATTTCCCTCAGAATGACGGCCATCTTCTCCTCCTCTTCCTTGGTGTAAGGTGTAGTGGAGGTGCCGCCCCGGGTTCCTACTCTACACGTGAGCGTGAGCCAAAACCCAAGGGGGAAGAGGAGACGCCAAAGGGTCCCCCACAAGGAGAACCCAACAAGTAACCCATACATCAGATAGTCATCCATGGTGGTATCAAGTGCACGACAAGGAGTCCCACTCCTTACCACATAGACCTACCCGGACACTGACCCACTGACTGATTCTCTAAGGACCACAGGGTGGAACCCTGTCAACTATGACCACTAATTTGGACCTACTCTAAGGCTGTCACTACCGAACCAACAGCTGATCTGGAGGCATTTAAGGAGATCCCCCAAACTCCGCAAGAATTCTTTAATGTCGCAGACATGACGACGTTATCAACTTGGTTCTTGCCTGTGCTTTCAGCCCACAACTGTGCCACACCGAGCAGCCTGCCAGTCTGTACCGATCCTTGGGAGGGTTCGTATCCCCCGGGACAGTCGAGTCGTCAGACACAGATCCTCAACCTTACTTGGTCCGGTAGGGGAGTGGTTCGAACAGGCCCTCAACACTTAAAGACTGCCTGGTGTGTCAGCCTCAACTGGCATTCAGGCCCACTGAGTCCTACCAACCGTTTCCAGCTGGTCAGCACCGGTCCTTGGGAGGGTTAGGCCCCCTGGGAAAGTTGGATCAGCCACAGTCTCAGCCCTACAAGGTCAGACTTAGGTTTCGTCATCCAGACATATCCTTCATGCACAACGTACTATCACTTAGGAGTCAGGACAGGAGAGACTCGATGCCGAAAGAGGAGACAGACAGACTCAGACTCAGCAAGTACCGTAGGGTGAGTGCACATCCACAGGGTGAGGGGTAGGCTAAGGGCTTGGCGAGATATTACCAACTTGAGCTTGGTCCAGGTCTTGGTCAACGACGCCGGTTAACCCCTCGGTCAACGCTGAGTCAACGCTGCAAGACCCCGGTCAACACCTCAGTCAACCTTCCGGTCAACCCTCCGGTCAACTCTCCACCTCGGCTATGGCT